TCGGGAAGTAGATTTTCCATTCTTGGATTTGGGTCGTGGGGGAGATGTGGAGACCTTTGTCGAGGGAAGAGAGGGCGGTGGTGAGGGATTTTTGGAGTGTACTGTCGAGGGAGAGGGTCCGCGCTGCTTGGAGAGTGGTGGTGAAGAGGGTGTGGATTAGTTGTTGGTAATGTGTACAGCCGAATGTGGTCTATGAGTTGTGTTAGTACCAAATCAAATTTTGTATCCATCATTCAAGAGAGAAAAACTTACAGGACCATGTTCGGGCGAAGAACAAGGATTAACAACCAATGTTCCATCATTGAAATACTCATCCTTCTGCAATTGGCTAAGCCAAAATTCCGACACAGCTTTCAACAACGGATATCCCGTTTCCCTCAACCAATTCTCATCTCGCGAGTAATCATAATAATCAGCCACATGTTGCATCAACCAAGACGCCGCCGCCGGATAATCAGCCCAATACTCATCTCCCGTTTTCATCCCCGTATGTCCAAAAATATTCACTTCATCATGGACTACCCATCCCGGTGCATTGTATAGAAGTTTTGCAGTTTCTGCTCCGCGCGGTGCCCATGTTTCGCTCATGTATGTCCACAATGCGGATTGCAAGTCTCCGAGACCGGTTTGAACGGCTCCCCATTGGTTCATTTGAATATTGATATTGGCGTGATAATCTGCACCCCAGGCGTTAGATAGACCATATGCCCATTTTCCTTGGAGATTGGGCGGAAGAGAATTATCTCGTGATGAGGAGATGAAGAGATAACGACCATAATCGAATAAAAGACTTTCGAACCAGGGATCGGTGTGAGTGTTGTCTGTAGCATTGTATGCAGCAATTACAGAGGCAGTTTCTTTGTTTGCTGATCCGAGAGGATCAGGAAGATTGAGCGTGAAAGTATTCATTAGAGCGGAGAAATCAGATATATGGTTATTCCGGAGGGTTTTAACAGTTTTCGAAGCAGCCTTTGCAATGGTAGAGGAAATGTAGGCACCCGGATCTACCCCTTTAAATGAGTAATTATCTGCAGCTGTACCTTTTGTAGCATCATAGTTTGTACCAGCCGAGATGACTAAAGACAGCGACTTTTGATCGCGAGATGGTGTTATGCTGAGAGTACCTGTGGTATTGGAACAGGACACTGATTTAGTGGATTCAAGTACTCGAGCCTCAGTCTTGTAAATCATGCCTATATCAGCTTGAGTGATACCACTGAATAGAGCCGATTTTGAAGATTTCGAACAAGATGACTTGATCAAAGAGCTATCAGTTAATACATTGTCGAAGAGAACATCGATTTTAGGTAGAGTGGTTGTTGAGTTGACTTGGTAAACGCATACACTATCTGGGTAGGAGCAAAATACAGTACTAATAATTGTTAGAAATTGCCGAGTCCCGAAATAAGTACGACTAACGTAGTATAAGAAGCATTTGCAGTCTTGAAAGTAGTAGTATGAATTCCAGCATTCAAATCGAGACTTCGTTTGTATTCCGTAGCTCCCGAAATGCCTTGTAATGACACGGATAAATTTCCTAGGACTTGGTAACTTCCATAATTGTCATCTGAACCCATCAAGGCAGTAACATTTCCAGTGCCGTTCTGAAAGATAAAATCTCTAACGCCTGATAGCGAGGAAGAAACCGAGGAATTTGGATTACCGCCAATGTAGCTGGCGTCCTCGAAGGGCCCACCATTCCATAATGAATCTCTATTGAGATTAAGTTGTTCGGAACCTGGCGTACCAAATGGAAGTGCTGTGCTTTATTTAGTATAACGACTCAATAAGGTCTTGCTTAAAGTATATACCAGCTAATTGACCATTTCCTATAGGATAGGCTGTCCTAATAATATCCTGGTAAGCTGCTGGTTGAGTAGACCACAGACTTTTGCCTTGAACGTTTAGCGACAAATGCGAAAGGGTCAAGACCGTGATCCAAAAGTTTGGATGCATTTTGAGCATCACAGCTTACTCACAAAACTATCAAGTAATAATTGAGATGATCTTATTAAAACTCGTTATACATAGTTATATACATTTTCATGCTGGAATCTCGGGGGTAAATAAATGAGGGGTACGTTGAAGAATTATTTAGCCGGATCGACAATGCATCTTAGCGAACCCATTTGTCACCCTGGCGATCATCTAACAGGTGCAAAAAATCGGGTATTAATTAATTCCGGGTAAACTTCCAGCGGGAGTACCCGGATATCGTCTGATTATTGTTCCGCCGTGTCTAATAAAGATGGAGAAAGACCTAATTAATGATGTAATACATTCAACGCACGTAGACATACATCCGAGTAAATATATCGTGGAAAGATAAAATTAGATGTAATCATAAACCGTGGTACATTACTACAAGCTTGAGCGGTAAACGAACTAAGCTCTCGCTTACAATGGAAGGGAGGAAATTACCATGGGGGAATCAATGGTTCGCAGTAGGATTAGCTATATTATTCGCAGTTAAATTCAGTGACGATATTGAGCTATTTATTTCGACTCATCGCAATATATTTAACACCCTCTAGCTTTATCAACTCATTCACGGAGACAACCAGGGTTACGAGCTCTTTATGCACTCTCTGTATGACTAACCACAAATCAGCGAGATTTCTCAGTGGTTCGCTTTATATTGCACCATAGAGCTCCTTGCCATGTAACTGCGAGCCATAATACGCGAGTAAAGCTGAATTTGTCGAATTCTAAAGGTCATCACTTGCTGACCCAGCCTTTGATATCTGTCGCTGGACTACAGACAGAAAATTCAAAAGACAACTCCGTCGGAATTCCAATAAGCTTGTACACTTGTACATCAAAATTATTTAGACAAGATCAGAAGAGTGTTTTTATTCGTCAATCGGACGACAAGCATAGAGCTTAGTTCGACGATCAAAAATCCATTTTTGGGCCGAAATCTTTCCCTGGCCTAGACTTCCAGTTAGAAAAGGGATTAATGTGACGAAAGAAAGTGCTGTAATTGATTTGAACGAACCTCTTTACGCCAAGATAATTAGCAGAATTGAGAAGGAATATTGTGAGAGTCGGCCACCAGCTGAGTGCGAAGATAAGATCATTACCCGAGTTCAATATGAAGTTCGGGGACATCTCGGCTTTCGGGCTGAGTGTGCAAAATGTCGTGGAATAGATCGAGATAGTAGATCGCCAAAGATGATATCATTACTGAAAGAGGGACAAAATGAACGGAACCCAACGAAAACCAACAAGTAAAGCTCGAACAACGCTTCAGTAAATCATGTATTCATTTTTTAAATTCCAAAAATCGAATCACGGGGTATCTACCTATCGCTAATGGTAACGCCAATCTGGATGCAGCACTAAAAATCAATAGCCGGACCGTTGGATACGAGCTGGAATAACACGACCACCAACAGTTTTCTCCTCTCCGCCCAATTGCCAAACACGCTGCCATGCCGTTTCTACTGACAGAGGTACATCAGTGTCAATTGAGTTCTCGACCACCTCGTCTTCATCTTCACCATCCCAGAGTTCGATTTCCGGACGAGCCTTTGGTGGACGTCCCACGCGTCCACTTCCAACACGTGGAACCGGACGAGGGGGTAATAATTCTCCAGTGAAGATATCCTTGACCTGGAGTTTCGTAAACCCGCGGATTGGCATGATGCCAGCTTTTTCATCATGCTGGTTGTTATTTCGACGAACAAGGTAAAGACCCTCGGCCAAATCCATATAATGTTGCCATTGTTGATCAGTGGTCACTTGCTTGGTGAACGGTGGATATCGAGTACGACCCAATTCGCGAAGACCACCAATGAACTTTGAACCCATAAATAGATCAGGATGACGCCTTTCTAATAGATCTGCAAGAAGTCCCCCAATTTTATAGACAATACACTTTGCAATACGTGGTCCAGCTCCCGGGTCGCCTTGATCTGGAATTTTGGCTCTAATGAAGAGCTTATTCCAAAGGGATCCGGGAGTAAGTTTCTTGACAGGAGTGCCATCTTCGATTTCATCGCTAATCAACGACATCAGCATTTCCAATTGATTGGTTTGTGCATCGCCACTATTGCTAGCAGCTGGAGGAGGGTCTGGAATTGTAGGAGAGTCGACAGCCATTGGCTCTGGTTCCACTGAAACGAATGTATTGGCTCTCTTATAAGCGGTCTTTCAAAATTAGCCTTGTGGAATTGAAGCATAGTATAAAGATACGTACAGGGCATTGCTTCTTCAGGAGCTTGTAGATTTCTGTACTAGACCATCTCATAGTCTGAGCCTCTCCATCGACCCAAGTTTCCTCACGAAAAGCTGACAACAGAAAGAATGCATTTGCATCTTTAGTCAAAACTTCGACAACGTCGTCTTGTAACAGTCCACTGCCATCTTCACGACCATACTATAATGACGAATCAGCCTTTGGAGCGAAGCAACTTTGGAGAGCAATTGAAACTCACTTCCCAGCATAATTGACCCAAGTCATCTTTACACTCCCTATTGATTACACGCTCATAGTAATCGGTAACAAAGTGCTTAAGTTCTGCACTTTCTACCATGCTTGTAAAGTGCGCTACATACTTTTGTGAAGGTTTGAGCTCAACCCACCACTTAGTTGCGGAATCCTCAACGTAAAGAATGATGGCTCCAAGCTCATCCCTTTCGTAAGAATACATTTGGAATTGAACCTGGCAATGTGAACCATTTGGTTTCTTGACTATCAGAGCATTAGGTATTAATGCAATGAATGGAAATTGGATCCCCCAGAGTCAGAACTTACATTTATATCTTTCCGCATTTTCTACCCAAAGTGTACCTTCGGCGCGCAATTCCAGACCGAGGACAGAATCGAATACATTGGCAATACTGCGGTTTTTCTGATAGACAACCGTATCTTGAAGAACAAGCCTTGGCTCATCAACATCCATTTTATCGAGATTTTCTCCTGAAGAGTTATAACTTTTATATAGTACAGCACCAGGTGTGCCAGAGCCAAACATTTGAGATCTGGAAGCTTTCATGGCTTTATGGCTTTATATCTGTTGAAAGAAAAAGGGAATAATGCAATCAATAGTCGATACAATTTCATAGCAGGTGATACTTAGATTCCAGATGAGAAAATGCTCTTTTCTTCAACAATGTCTTTGTGTAGAACAAGGGAGAACAAGGTCAAGTGCAAAGAGCCTTTTTTGTTTTCTACCCCCTCAAACTCAAGCAAGCTATGGCCGCCTGTGTTTGTTGATAAAGATGATAGTCGGCCAAATGAAACTCCGACTCCGAAGTCCCTGATAATCGTTCTGACTGAGTTTCATGATGAATCTCGAAATCCATACAGTCAGATGGTTATGGAGTACATTGCTGACCTGCTGGTTTTCGAAGATAAGTTTTGATGAAAAAGTATCTGCTTGCTCTCAAGGAAATCTCTTTCCTAGAATAACTGTTACAGTCTTTTTATGTGATCAAACAAACATCTCCTCTACTTCTCAAGACTAAAAATAAAAAATATTGTCTCAGGATAAAGCTCAAATCACATGTCACATGGAGATAAGGATGCCAAGCTAAGACTCTGCAGCAACTTCCATGGCACAAAAAAAAGCTGGAGAATCGAAATAAACTCCACTCCATATCGACCAACAGATATCTATTACCATCCATCACAACCTAAACACTAGCAGATGTCCAGACGTGCCTGGTGGACAATGACGAAAGGAAAGGTTATGGAAGGCGTTTTCGGTATGAATCGCTCTTTCCTATTTTCAATTGATCAAAATAATTGACAGAACCCCGCAGCCATTAATAAACCCACTGGTCGTTCTTCCGCTCAAATCGTTCGCGATCTTCAACACCATTTCAATCCTTCCGAACTATTCGCACCTTACATTCAAATAGAAACTAGAAACCGAGAAAACGAATGGCACAACCAAAAACAAAGACGCAGGAAGTCGGGTAAGAGAGTTCAGGTCAAGATTGGTCATGGAGGAACTTTAGATCCGTTGGCTACTGGAGTCCTTATTGCGGGAGTTGGAAAAGGCACAAAAGAATTGAGCAATTTCCTTCTCTGTACTAAGACTTACGAGACAACTGTATTATTTGGTGCTGCGACAGATACATATGATAAAGATGGGAAATTGTTGAAGAGAGCTCCTTATGAGCACATTACGAGAGAAATGGTCGAGAAAGGACTTGCTAAATATCGTGGAAAATTTATGCAACTTCCACCGTTGTTTTCGGCTTTGAAAATGAATGGAAAGCCTCTTTACGAATATGCGCGCGAGGGAAAGGAAATCCCCAAAGAAATTGAAAGGAGACCCGTTGATGTCTCGGAGCTGGAATTGCTGGAGTGGTATGAAGGTGGTGAACATCAATGGAAGGCGCCAACTGAAGAAGCGGGTTATGCGGAAGTCAATGTTGCAGCAAAGTTATGGAAGCAGGAGCGAGCTGAGCCAGCAAGTAATGGAAAGGAGGCAGAGAATGAGAGGGCGCTGGAAGATTTCGAAAGTAGGAAGAGAAAAATGGGTGATGATCAAGATGACTTAGTTTTGGAAAAGCCGACCAAGAAAGCCAAGGAGGAAGCCGAAGAGAAAAAGGAAGATGCAATGATGTCAGGAGGTCTTTCTTCTGACAAAACTCCAATTGAAGATCAATCTATTCCCTCCAAAGAAGACGTCAAGAAAGGACCCCCAGCGGCCAAAATCCGCATGACTGTATCATCTGGTTTCTACGTCCGATCATTATGCCATGATCTCGGCGCAGATTTGGGATCAGCGGGATTGATGACTAGTTTGGTTAGGGTCAGACAGGGACAGTTTGAATTGGGTAAGAACGTTTTGGATTACGATGATTTGGAAAAGGGAGAGGAGGTCTGGGGACCACAGGTTGAGAAGTATCTAGATGAATGGAATGCGTTGTCGAATGCAGAAAAGGTTACAAAGACAGAGACTGGTGCGGAGAGTGCTACAGAAACAGCCGCAGCGCCGCCTGTAGAAGAAAAACCTGCTGCGGAGGCGGAAATAAAGGATGAGACCACTGAGATCAAGGAAGAAAAGGATGAGACGACCGAGAGCAAGGAAGAAAAGGATGAGACCACTGAGATCAAGGAAGAAAAGGCTGACGCATAGAGCGAATGGTTGGAGGCAGATTATGCTAGCATTGCGAATAACTCAAAGTTTGGTTGTTTTAAGGTGTGGGTTGTCACCTTGCCGGAAGAAAGCAAAAACTCAAGTTTGGTATCTCATGGGATATAGATCGGCATCGTCTTCGCAACGATTCCATCAATTGTATTATACAAGCGTTTCGGAAGGAAAGGCCTTTATTGGCGCGAATCTTACTGATAGGTAGAATTGCTATTGCAATAGAATTCAAGAACATATTCACTTACTATCTTCCTATGCTGTTAGATCACACCTCACGTTCATTCCTTTTTATCCCCCTTGTCTTCCTCATACAAACCAGCATACGTAGCCTTCAATCTTCCTATCAAATGTTCATCAGCTGTAATTTTCTCTCCTTTCTTCCTTTCTATCTCTCCATTTGCTTCTCCAAATTTCTGTACGCGCTCACTGGGTACACTTTCTAACACGGTGGTGCCGACGGGATGACAGAAATAGGCAATGCTGTAGCGATCTGCGATTTCTGTTGGAAGAGACTTGGGGAAGATGACGCGGTGGACGGTGGAGACGAGGAGATTGTTCGTCCAGTGCGAGAGGAGATCACCTATGTTTACGACTGGGGTGAGGTGGAGGTTAGCTACATTTTCTGAAAGGGAAATGCGTTTCGGAGGTGGATAAGAGGGGGGCGATTTGGAAAAAGCGACATGGATACGGAGGATCGAAGACGTAAAAGTTTAGGGGGGGAAGAAATATATGCTTACGGATTGGTGGAGATGAGTCATTCTCCGTAGTTGGAGGCTGGATTGGGACTGGGGTCCATTTTGGCTCTGAAGAAGAGGAAGGAGGAAGGATTTCGAGACCTGGTTGGGAGGGTCGTTCTGAAGGAATTAGTTGTTAGATTGGGGGTGTGATAGCAATTGAGGAGGTGAGCATACGGAATAAAAGGGTAATAGATCCATAGTCCGAGTGAGCACCAGCTCGGATATCGACATCGGGTTGGTAGTCAGAATTTGGGGGCAAGGAAGGATAGTAGAGCAGACGGAGAATGCATCCTGTTGTGCCCCCGTGATGTCTAGAGGAGAACCAGTCGGAACCACCAGCTGCGGGGTCGATCTGTGGACAGTTAGCTTTTTTGATGTTCTTGTGATTAAGTAATTTGCGGCAAATGAGAGTGTTGATTCGAGAGGGCTGTTTGGAATATATACCTCGAGACCGATGGCGAAAAGCGTAAGGAGTTTAAGACAAAGCTTATGGCAGTAGAGTTGAAACTCGTTGAGCTCTGATTCATGTGGAGATAATGAAGGTGGAAGTGGTTGTTCAGCTTTTCCATTGACAAAGTCGCCTAAATTGAATGCTCTAAGGGGTAAGAGTTAGTTCGGACTTGAATGGACGGGTTGTAGGAGACAGGCAAGCTACTCTTTGAAGTCGCCAACCTGTAAATTTATTAGTTTTGAAATCTTGAATGGTTCTATTGACGATATAACGTACTCGTTGATTCTTCTCATCCAATTTCTCGGTGTGCATTCCAGACCATCCCCTATTCTAACCCCTCATCAGCTGTCATATATCCATGGCTGAATACAAATCAACTTATCACATACATTATTTGCGATTTTGCATGGTAGCTTCTCTTCGATTGGAGAAGAGAAGAACTTTCGAGACTACTTTATGTTTTAGTCATAAGGATAACGGAATTTCGAGGAAAGCGTACTCACCAACTCAAATGTTCTGTCAATGGCATCGACAGGGATATCTTTCCCCAGATTTTTTATGTAAACGAAACCAAAGGTTGCAGCTGCATCCACAAGTTGTTTAGCAACTTCCGACTGAGGCACTGAGCCTGAAATATCAATAACTGGTATGCTTCCTTCGTTTGAAGACGACATGATTCCTGAGGGATGTATGATTGAATGTAAGTGGGATACGAATCTTCTTTATACCTTTATCCCTTTTCCAGGGTGGGATGAAATATATTCATTTGTAAAAACCGTCTGATAAGAAATCATTGAAGCCCCCCTTATCGTAAATTGCACGTGATGAGACCAAAGGATGGACGGCACGACGGGCTGAGGACGGGGACACTAATAATAATAATAAGTTGTCTTGAACCGATCATTTTGGGAGCTTGGACACTTCTCGAACTGCGGTTGTGGTCTGAACTTCAATTTCAAAATTATATTTGGGAAGACACAACCACCACCTCTGCGCATCTAGTACATTCATTTCGATTTCTGAAATATACCCTCATCTCACTCCAATATACTCCTCAGATACCCCGTCAAGATACTCAGCCGTAGTTCCTTCTTTTACACCAACCCATAACATCTTCAACTCACCCTTTACTCATTATCGATCTTACATACCATCAACGTTCCTTCCCACGAACACCCCTCCAATATTATCTAAGAGGGCCACAACACGAATATAATAAGGTTTGGTATCTTTCGTTTTTGGAAAGCACTTGGGAATCGAATCATAATTGGAAAGAACAAGTGAATATAGTATTCAGGATTTAAATTCAAGATGCCTCGTGAGTTCAATTTCCTTCTCAATTCTAACCTCAACCGCAACCATAATCATCGCGAGACAAATCTCAACTTCCACCTCCGCCTCTACGAAAGTCTGAACTTCGAGAAGCAAAATGGGTTGCGGAACGGAGGATACGCTTGGCTCAATCATCCGTGAAGCAATTTCCGAAGCTGAGTTCGTGGCGACAAATCCCTTCGATAATAATCAGGATATCCAAAATGCGCTGTTGGCATCGGTCTGCTGGGTTGATAGCACATACGATCGTGCATACTATATTCCGGAGCATTGGACTGATATAGCATATGCAGTAAATACTGGCGACCCGTACATTGATGCTGGGGTAGTGTAAGATCTCAATCATTCCGCAGGAAGCCATCTGCTAA